ACGCCATTTTTAATTATATTTTGTGGCGGTTATTTGGAACCGCCGTAATATAACCGCCACAATAATTCTGATTTTTTGTAGTGAGGTCGTTTAGATCCTTCACCAATCGACTCACTTCTTTTTTATACGGATATATATTTTCAAAGAACTCAGCGTTATCTGATTCTATAACCGTATTATTATGAATGTCGGGATTTTCTGATTTATGAACCAGAAATCGATATGCTTTACTATTAGTCGCATATCCTATGAAAACACAATCAACGGTTTTCGGTCCTATTTTTACCCTTTTGGGTTTAGGAACTTGCACTTTTGCCAAACACCCCCACACTTTAAAATAATTCAAGTTGGCTTTCCTTCCTTTCCGTTTTTCATATGGAATGGATTGTGTTTTGCTATGGGGTGCTCGATTTAGTATTCGGCTAGCCGTACGAACGGCTTCCCCCCCCCCCCTCCCCCCCAAGTTCCGCGGCAAACCAGAACTTATCAATAATGCATTCATCGTCTCCTCTATCACTTCTTATCATTTTGATTTTCTTGTTAAGTTGCGTTTCAACTTCATTTTTGTATTGCGTGAATGCGTCTATTGCTTCATCTTTACTATTAAGTAAGCAAACATAGCAATATCGAGTACTATCGTCAATAAAAGTTATGAAATACTTCTTTCCGCTGCGAGATGGTATTGACTTCATATCGCAAATATCAGTGTGAATTAAGTCTAAAGGATCTGAATTCCTTTTAACTTACTTATAAGGATGTTTAACATACTTAGATTCCACACATATTTGACATTTTGATTTGTCGCATTAAAATTTAGGCAATACATCCAAATTAATCATTTTTCGTAAGGTTTTATAATTAACAGACCAAAACGTATATGCCATAATTCATTTGACTCAAGTAAGTAAAACGAAGCTGAAATTTTATTATTATTTTCAACAACCATTACATTTATCTTGAAAAGGCCCTCAGTGAGGTAACCTTTTCCTACAAATATTTTGTTCTTACTTATTACAACCTTATCGGAAATAAAAACACATTTAAAACCATTCTTAACAAGAAGTCCAGTGGAGACTCAATTCTTCCTAATCTCGGGAACATGAAGGACGTTGTTCAAAGTCACCACTTTGCCGGAAGTCATTTTGAAAAATATCTTCCCACATCCTTCAATCTTGGCCTTTGCAGCATTTCCCATAGAAAGCGTCTCATCGGGTCCAACAGGAGCATAAGTAGCAAAAGCTTCTCTAACAGCACAAACATGGCGAGTGGCTCCAGAATCAATCCACCACTCTTTAGGATTGCCCACCAAGTTGCATTTGGAAAGCATGGCACATAATTCATCAACATCATCATGCTATTCAACCATGTTTGCTTGACCCTTCTTCTTGTCTTTCTTCAGAGCACGACACTCCGTAGATTTGTGTCCGATTTTTCCACAGTTGTAGCAATTTCCACCAAACACTTCCTGCTTGGGTTGTATTTCGGTCCAGAAGCCTTCTTCCTCTTTTTGTTCTCTTCAACAATACTTGCTCCCATTATTGTTGAGTTTCCACAGCCTCTCTTTTCAACAGCTTTGTTGTCCTCTTCGATTCTCAACCGAATAATGAGATCTTCAAGGGACATCTCCTTGCGTTTGTGTTTCAAGTAGTTTTTGAAGTCCTTCCACAAAGGAGGCAACTTCTCAATCATCGCTGCTACTTGGAATGCTTCATTGATGACAAGACCTTCAATGAAATTTCTGTTAGTAAAAATACTAAGATTACTACTTTCAACATCAGTATTAATTTGATTTATACCTTCAGCAAGGAGATCGTGAATAATCACTTGCAATTCCTGGACTTGGGCAATAACAGACTTGCTATCTACCATTTTGTAGTCAAAAAACTTTGCAGCAACGAACTTCTTCAACACGGCATCTTCGATTTTGTATTTCTTTTCAAGCGCAGTCCACAGTTCTTTTGACGTTTTCACGCCACTATAGACGTTATACATAGCATCCTCTAGCCCGCTTAGAATATAATTCTTGCACAAAAATCTGAATGCTTCCACGCCTCAATCACGAGAAAGCGTTCAGTTTCTGGAGTTTCATCGGACATCACAGGAACATCTTACTTGATGAACTTCTGGAGACTTAGAGTAGTCAAATAGAAGAACATCTTTTGCTGCCAGCTCTTGAAATCAATCCCAGAAAATCTTCCGGGTTTTTCCGCCGGTGCCAATGTTGCCGGTGTTGTTCGGCTCGTTGAGGCATTGGCAGTCACCATTGGAACAGCTTGGTTCACATTATCATTAGTCATTTCTGTAAAAGAATGACACAAACGTTAAAATCACGTAGATTTTAATCTCCAATAGAGTACAAAACCACAAAGGTTTTACTCTCCAGAAATAGTGAGTACAAATACAGAAAATATATTAAATTCTTTAAGCTTGTTAGTAAACTGTATTTGTAAAATAATTCTGGAAAATATAAATGAACATAAACAGAAATGAAAAAAATAGAAACAGAATTTTAATTCGAGCCCACTGAATGCACAGTGTTTCCTTAAGGAATTTAATCCCCTCCTAGTACCCAAGGTTATGGATTATTTCCTCACAAAATAAATCCAAAAAATTAATCAATTAATCAATCATTTGACCAAATCCGAAGCCGAAGCCGAGCGACGACGACGGCGCAAGGCTTGCCTTCTTCTCAACTCTTTAAGAGCTAGAAGAAGAGCAAATGCTTATATATCCATAGAAAACCTCTTCCTCTTCCAATATGGGACAATGTCCCTTTGGGGGGGGGGACCTAAAATTTCACTTAAAAATTTCATTTCCCTCCATTTCCCATTCACCCTATTTAAAGCATATCATATACTTAAAAGCCCAACATATATATATATATATATATATATATATAAGTTATATGGCAAATGCTAATAAAATCTAGCATAGACCAAAATCGTAAACTACCTGTTTTATGTTTAGGCAACACATCTCACACGATATGTACATTTAAAAAGAAAATTACATAAACTAAAATTACAAACAAATTAGTACCAGTCAACAATTTTTTATTGCAAGGTTTAACAATAGAGGTAGAAAACATTTTGGATAGCTTGTTAGGGGCACCACCGGTGACTTTAGCAACACGGAGAAGAGCAAGGTCAGCCTTCAGATCCTTCAACTGAGCCAACAACTCAGTCTTCGACTTGCCCCTCAGCTCATGAACCTTTATTCTCGCTGCATTTCACCCACACAAAAAACACATTAATCTCAAGCAGTTAATACGAATCAAAAATCATAAAATACTTTTTAGAAATCATTTGAAGATGAAGAAAATTGAATCTAAAGTAGAAACTAAGTGTGGTTACAAAGTTAGCATAAATTGTAATTACCATCAAGAAATTCTTAGCACAAAAACTTCACCAATATTATGAATGAAAATCATGAGGCGTCGTTGCAAGAAGTGCGTTCTTTTTAGCCGTGGCCATATCATGATACAGTTCACGCCGCTTGGCATTACTATCATGATTTTCTGTTGTTATGCAAGGTTGTTTTCTTTTTTGTTGACGATCCATTCACGAAGAAATTTAAGTTTTATGAGTGTCGGCCAATCACTTTTGCAACCTACAATACAATGACTTTTTTTATTAGTCTGAAACAAAGACAAACAACACATGAACATTGGTGTACATTATTTTCTACAAATATTTAAAAGGGAACAACAGATAACACTTAGTATACTATAAATACATGACAGCAAAACATAAAGAGCAAAGGCATATAAGTTCAAGGCTGCACCTTTTTCCAATAAGAAGTTTACACGAATATTATACCAAGGACAATGGAGAGAAACAAAGCATCCACAGATTTTTCAGAACAGAACAGTAAAAAAAAATCTACATTAGAGCTCAAATGAGGCAAAACCATAACAGTCAGCCATTCTATTGGCACAACATAAGCAAAAGATTGTTGACCAAGAAAACTTAACTCAGTTTGTCATCAATTGAACACCTGCTATTTAGATATACTTAATACGAACAATAAGCTTCATACATATTGTACTCTGCATAATTGCCAAAAAGATGAAGAGGAGTGTAAATTAGAGTCAAATAACGCGAAAGCATAACAACCAGCTTTGCCATTGGTGCAACAAAGCAGTAGTAGAGTTTTGCTAGTGTTGATCTATTGATCAGTGACGACAGAATTTTATATATTTCCACAAAATCACATCAGACCTGGGACATATCCATTTTCCACAAAACCCCAGAATACTTCTACAGACAACTATAAGAACTATGCATACAATAATTGAAGACATGACACATCCTTTTAGTTAGAAAGATATATAACACATAAAATATATTGTCACTTGTTAAGCATATTGTAAGCGTTATAGCTACATCAAAGTTCTCCTTTGTTTAAACAAAATATCATTAGGTACTCTATTCTTTATAGGTACCAAAATAACAATGCATCAGAGAGCTCATATAATGACAGTAAATACACAAATTGTAGGATTGGCCACATCAAACACAGTAACATAATATGCAAGATCGATTAGTGGTTAATAGTTCTTTTTTTCCTATAAAAATGCAAATAAAGAACAAGGAAGCATTAACAGTGACAATCAGCTAAACTTATTTAGCTCTAATACAGTAATACTATGTTATGAACCATATACTAAATACAGATATGTGCTCTTTACCATATATCAAAGAAATGAAAGCTATCGACAAATCCAAAATTTTCTCAAATGTGTCCTTGCTTTCATCTCTGCTTCCAAAAGGTAAAATCATTCTAACACCTTTAAAAGCAAAGCAACGTGTAAAGCAACGTGTCAAAAGGAAACAGAGTGTAGATATATTCGTTTGAGCGGTGTAAAGCAACGTGTCAAAAGTAAAGTAGGGTTAACACGTGACTTTTGTCAAAGTAAATTTTATGTAGGATGTAATATTAAAACATACGACCCCAAGCAATCTGAATGTATGAGAGTGCTAATTGCAGTAAACATCTATTTATCCGTCACTTCTGTGCCTTCGGTTTGTGAGTTCGGTTGCATTTGTGAATTGTACACCTGCGTCCTATAGTAAGTCTGAATAGCATTCTCCCTCCTTATAAGCTATATATGTGCAGCCACTTAAGGATTAACACTGATAGGGGATTGATGATTCACGATGGACAGTCAAGGTTTTCCATTAATGGAAAGCCCATTTACCATTTTGTTGGGACCTCTACTTTTAGTGAGTACACTGTGGTTCATGTTGGTTGTGTTGTTAAAATCAACCCCTCTTGACAAAGGTTGTGCGCTCTGTTGTGGAATCTCCACATGTATACGATAAACAACAATAAATTATGCATCTCAAATAGTAGTTTCATGTGAGGAGTTCAATTTTCGATTGATCAAATGCTATTTTTCTAGAACTTAGTGCTACTGTGAATGTGGCTAAACCAACAAAAGGATCAAGTGTGGCCATATTTGGACTCGGGGCTGTGCTGTGAGTACTCTATCCATATTGCAAATAATTTTCAATGATTTTTCTATCTATGTTCTTTCCCATATGTTACTTTAAGGAATCTTATTAATAATGTGATCCCATTTGGTCAGGCTGCAGAAGGAGCAAGAATTGTTGGTGCTTCAAGGATAATTGATGTTGATTTAATTCCTAGCAGATTTGAGTTAGGTAATTAAGTTGTACCTACACAGGTGCCTTGATATGTTTCACTTGAATCTTCAACATTCTTCATCCTTTATCTTATTTAATTCCTTTCTTATAGCTTGTCTCAACTCATTCATCCATTTTGCCTATTTTCTACAGCTAAGAAAGAAATTTGGTGCGACAGTTTGTGAATCCAAAGGATCATAATAAACCAGTTCAAGAGGTACTCTTATTTCCTTAGTTTGCTAATAGATCAGTAAAAAAAAAAAAAAAAAAAAAAAAAAAAAAAAAAAAAAAAGGTGTGAGCTGAAGTTGATCATCTTTTATTGGATTCTTGTTTGATTAGGTAATTGCTAAGATGACTGATGGCAGAGTAGACAAGAGTGTTGAATATACTGGGCATATTGATGCTATGATTTCAGCATTTGAATATGTCCATGATGTATGTTTTCTGTCGTCAAATTTCCTTATTTTATGTTCTTATTACTACATTAGTTTTACTGGAAGTACATGCTAATGAAACTTAAACTGGCTGTTCTTGTTGGAGTACCCCATAAAGAATAAAATATTATAATGTCCTTCATTGTTCCAGTTTCCACCACTGAAACTAAGTTTTTGACATTGCACAACTTATGCAAATAGAAAATCTAGTTTACAATATGCCAAATAGTCCTGTTACAAAATTCTGCAAACATAACATTAAAGGTGCAGAGGTTATGCACACATCAAATCTTTAAGAAGCAGCGAGTACACCATTATCCCTCCTGTTTTGTATCACAAAAACTTTACCGAACTTATAAATCCTATGTACAAGCTGTTACCAAAAAAAGAAAAAATTTCCTACAGATTGATGATTTCAGCTATGATACAAGTTATACATATCAGTAATCCCAAAATTAAGCTTCAGCTCGATTAATGAAAGATGGAGAAGATAGTTCAGTGTGAGAATGGTCGTAGCTACAAAATAATTCATAAGAGAATGATCATAGCTACAAACCAGAAAGCCGCTCCTTCACGAGGAAGTTTTAGCTCCTCGCGCTTTGGACACCTTGGAATCGTAGAAAAAATAAATTAGCAGAGAAATCAGAGTACAAAAACTCTTCAGTGAAAGTAACATTAAAAGGCCAACTACTGGCAGTATAACTACAAAAGCAAATGAAAGATCACCCATAGCAATTGCCAACAGGTATTGGATGCATTAAATTTCCAACTCCAAGGGTGATCAACAGAGGTCCCAAAAAGTAAATTTATGATACCCTCACAGATACAGTACGTCAAAATGGAATTCTATATGATTTATGAAAATCAACAAAAAATTATACAAGGTAACACAGCGAGGAAACGAAACAAGGAATGAAATAAGCTGAGTAGCTGACCAAAGCATAAAATGGAGACACCAGCATCAGAATTACTTTGTCCCTCTCTTTTATGCAATAAACAAGGAATTTTTCAGAATATCCATCTGTCCATTTCATATGAAATACTTTATTGTCTCCAGACATCTTCAGAATTTTCAGCTACTCGATCAGCTTTAAACAACAGTAGAACCTTTTCTTTTCCTTTGAGAACCAAGAAATCCGCACACCAGCTTTAGAGGATAATGGGATGTCTCTCTACTCTTCATCACCACTTAGATACAAGTGTTCTTTCACGAGCTAGGATCCAAACTTGTGACATGCAGTTACCACATATCACGCAGTGTACTACCTTTGCTAAGTACTGCTAACAACAGAAACTATACTCGAACTGCAACATTGAGTTTTATATTAAGGGCACAAAAATACAGTATAATTTTTATTTGTAATCAGATGTCTTAGCTAATGGTAACAATTTCCAGTCGTCTTTTTTGTTCTCAAACAAATGAAGTTGACACACTACGATCCAACTCTAATCCCTTTCATCATCTAAGCTCTGAACAACAGTCCCCAGTTTCATCTTCAAGTCATAAAACTAAACTTCATTTGTTGATTATGAATAAATATGTGCTTGATTTTGATATGTTAGTTTCATTCTTTGTCGGATGCGCCCAGAGTAGGGTTAAAATTGAAAAAACTGAATCTAAAATTATAACTTTGAAGTTACAACATATATGAAATTAATAGGTACCTTTAGAAGAAAGCTAGCGGTAAATTAAAGGTGCAAAACGGTGGACAAATCTAAAATATGTGATTATTGAGAAGTTTGCCATATATATATATATATATATAAAAATTGAAGTGCTATTACTCTTTCTCCCTTTTTCTTACTTACAGCCTCTAAATCTGTAAATCAATTATCTATGTGGACACTTACCTTTATCTTAAAGTTGCTAAATCAGTATGCATAATAAATTACTACAGCTCTCTCAAGAGCACGGCTAATATTCATTCTCTGCTTCAGATTCCAGTCGCATTAACACCGAATCTTTGTTTCCTTTCCCCCTTTCTGAATGGAGTATGAATGTTATAACTTAACTAAATTTAGGAGCTTCTTGTTATTTCACTCGTGGTCCAGTGTCTAATATAGTACCCAAAGACAAAGAGAACTTGGAGGCGGCAAACTTTTTCTGCACTTTTTCCAAGACTCTGACCTAGAAGAATTAGAAGTAGGGACAAAGTGGAGGTATATGATATAATTTAGCCACAGCGAAATGAGAACAAAAATCAAATCATTGATACTCCTCAAGAGAAATACAGATAGAGATGAATCACAAACACTCAAAAAAATAGAGAAGACAGAATATGCATAAGAATTTAACAGATATGGTAATTCATTGAAGAAATTTCTCAAACACCTAGAGAACAAAAGTCATAACAGAAATGGTAGTTCACTGGAAAATTTTCTCAAACACCTAGACAACAAAATCCATTGATACTCCTCAAGAGAAATATAGATAAAGACGAATCAAAGAGATGGTAGAAGAGATATCCACCAGCAAATACGATTGACGAAAGGAAACACACTAAAGTGCAAACTTGACAACAAGAGAAAAGACGAAGAGAGTAGATGTTCTGGATTTTTCTTAGTTGGAGATGGCGCTACTTCTCTACGGTCCAGAAACCAGCGGTGCTTCCACGCGTTAAAATTTTAACTCCATGTGTTAAGCTATATAAAGCTAGCGTAGCTGTGAAAGCTTTGAAATGACAGAAGTATTTCAGAAGTCTTTGAAGTCACTGCAGATTTGTCTTGGCTGATTTTCCTAGATATTTAAGGGCTGTAATACAAAGTTTGGCATGTAATTGTGATGGATCAGTTTAAATGTTAGAGTAAAGACTTGATTATAAAGTAAAAATGCAAAAAGCTGGCATTAGGTTTAGAAGTTCAGAGTCATTGGTTTATCATGCGTATAATTTTGTATAAATCTGAGTATTCATGTATTAGTTGTACGAGTATTCTACAAAAGAGGGAGGATTTGGATCTGGGATCGTTTTAGTTTAACATCTGTTAAAAGAATTTTAGGTGGAGTAGTTGTTGATATATGAAGTTGAAGAAATAGTTGCTTTCTGTGTAGAATTTTATTGTTGAAGCTGGAGTTCATGTAATTTGCTGTGATTATTCAACAGACTTCTGTTATATTTTGTGTAATGATTGAGTTTATGATTTAGGATTTTAATTAGGAATTGATGATAACTTTTAAGTAATCCATGCTTGTCCGAAATTTTGTGAGCTATGGAATGTGATTGGATATGTTTGTTTAAGGAGTCTATTAATCTCTTGTTGGGGCATGTTATTGGGCCTAATAAGATTTACGCACTACTTCATTGCTTGGGCTCGATTATAGGCCCACAAATGTTTACAACAGACCTGTTTGAGGGCTGAACGAAAGTATTTCCTCATGTATAGCCCACAAATATTGTAAAACCGGCCCCCTAGCTATCTTAGTAATTGAGTAAATCCTGTTAGTAAACTGTATTTGTAAAATAATTCTGGAAATATAAATGAACATAAACAGCAATGAACATAAACAGGAATGAACAACAAAATAACAGAAAACCAATTCGAGCCCACTGAATTCACAGTGTTTCCTTAAGGAATTTAATCCCCTCCTAGTACCCAAGGTTATGGATTATTTCCTCCCAGGATAGAACGAATTACACACTGGTGTAGTGGTACTTCAAACTCCAGTGTTTCAGCGAACACAAAATTCTGTAGCAAATCATACTTACTGTTGCTTTGTTTGATGCTAAAAGTATGCAGAAGAAGGAGGAGAAACTCAGAAAATCGTAGTGAAATTCTGAGCAGAATAGTGTTGTATTTATAGCCTAAGTTGGGCTAAAATCTGAAGAGGTGCAACTCTTCAGAATGGCTGTTTATGCAAAACGGCCACAGCATAAATGTCATTACATAAATGGCCATTTACTCAACAATAAAGAGGAAAAATAAAGAGGGAAAATTGAAGGGTAGTTAATTTTCTATTACCAAAACAGAAAAAACGGATTGGAGGATTTAATATTAATATTTATTTTAATATTATTATTCTGTTATTAAAACAAATATTTAATAACATTTCTGTTAATATTTTACTATTAACAAATAAATTTGGTCCAAAAGGTTAATCAATTAATCGGTCATTTGACCAAATCCGAATCCGAATCCGAATCCGAATCCGAATCCGAATCCGAATCCGAAGCCGAAGCCGAATCCGAAGCCGAAGCCGAGCTGAGCCGAGCCGAGCCAAGCGAGCGACGAAGACGACGACGGCGCGAGGCTTGCCTTCTTCTCAACTCTTTAAGAGCTAGAAGAAGAGCAATTGCTTATATACCCATAAAAAACCTCTTCCTCTTCCAATATGGGACAATGTCCACTTACCAAGGGGGGAAACTTAAAATTTCACTCAAAAAATTTATTTCCCTCTATTTCCCATTCACCCTCTTTTAAGTATTTTATATATTAATTAAATACATAAAAAACCCAACAATCTCCCACATGAATGGGGAATGGCTATATCACAGAAGTATGCATGAAAAACTGTGTGATTCGCAAGTAAGGATTAATTGCATCTAGATAAGTAGGTTTCCCTTTGAACTTTCCGTAGTGAACTTATGTCGGATATACTCGATCAATCGGTAGATTTGATATCTTTGAACCGTCGAACTTTGGTGTATACCTAGACAACCACAAGTCACAGAACCAACCCTTAACCGTCTTTGGTTCTCATTGTTGTGTTCGTTTCAGCCATGAACACCGCCTGGTTTCATAAGTGCGTAGAGAACTAGCCTTACGAAGTTCTCCTTGAAGCGGCTAACACTTCACACTTGCATAGGTGATTCCTAAATGTGTCATCCCGTAGATACACTATTTGATATACCCCGTATCAAATTTAGAAATCATTAAAAAGCCTTAATGATTTATCCTTGGTATTGAACATTGTCTCATCGCGAAAATGGACCAAAAGTTTAGTTGACAATGTTGAACCGTCATTAATGACTTTGTTTGATCTCCTTGAACCTAGATCTTGGGATCTCCAATCTTCTAGGTAGAGTTACCCCCACTATGACTTGTTCTCGGCCATAGTCCCATTCCCATTGATGATTTCTCAACTACCTCTCTAGTTAGGCCTTTTGTAA